GCCGAAGCATTGGACAAATATTCACGTGAGCTATTATCGGATGGGCCCGTACCAACCCAAGTTCATTGATAGAGTTAAAAAGGCTAAGGAATTGATGATTTGGGCCTAGAATGTGAACACATTTAGCCCAATTGAGATGATAAGTGAATTGGTCATAAAAGGAAAAGCAATACGCCACACTCATTTGTTTGGAGTAGAATTTGGATTGTGGAGGATTTTTGGGCTGAGGAATTTAATTGGCTTGGCATTGCAAGTTATTTATTTTGCTGGGACACTCACGCAAGTGGGGAGATTTTTATTTTGCGCCAGCAATTAATTTACGGGGGGAGCGGAGGAGGCATTATTTTACGAGACTACACGAGAAAAGCCGTACAGAAGAAAAAAGAGAACAGAGGCAGACAGAGAGACGCACGCACAAGTTGAAGGATAGAAGGCTACACACGCGGAGGGAAGCCGCACTTGCACACGAGGAAGATTAAATTCTCTCTTTTATCTTTTTATTTATTTTTATTAGTATGTTAGGTTAATATTTTTATCCAGTTTGAGGGGATGTTTGAACCCTAATTTCAGTTTGTCTATGAATTGAATGATCTATTTCTTATCGTTGATTAATCGAAACACCGTATTTATTTTGTCGATGAGTTGATTCATTTTATCTGTGTATCGTGTTTATGAATTATGGTGTTTGATTTAGGTTGGCCAGCTAGGTTGAATATTCATAGTTTAATTGCTAGATTCGAGACTTTAATCCGTAATTGTTATTGTCTCGTTTCGTTTGTAGTAAACTAGAGGTCGTGCATCTCTAGGGTAGCGTGAACATAAGTTAAATGGTCCGAGCTTGTGCGTCAATTGCTTAGACTGACCTATTTTCCTAGAAATTAATGCTACTAGTGTATTAAATCTAGAGAGCTTATTCTAGGTTGTGCACTAGTTAGGTTTAGTCGAAGAGCCTATTTCGATTAAATATTCGGTAAGGAAAAATTCGGTTAACAGAGCTTGTTGTTAGCTAGGGTTGGTAATTTATCGGCAATTTAGAGAAGGCGTCGAAATTAATTAACGGTAGATTCAGATTGAGTGATAACTGAACCGAAAACTGGACTTCTCTCATTTTATTTGATTTTTATTTTATTTATTTTTATTTTAGTTTAATTAAGATTCAGATTGGGTGATAACTGAACCGAAAACTGGACTTCTCTTATTTTTATTTGAACCGAAAACTGGACTTTTCATTTACTGCTTTCGTAGTTTAATTCAATTAATACGAGATTGTCACAATTTAATTCCTACTCCTCGTGGGATCGACCCTTACTCGTCGCTATTACTATTTAGTAGAGGGTAGTATAGGAAAACTTTTATAAATTTAAATTTGTCGCGTCGCGACGCGCGGTCATCCTCCACCACCCTTGAAAATCCATTAAAGTTTGAATTTTGACATTCCAGTCAAGACCACTAAGCTTCCAACAGTTAACAAATTTTGAGCAATTGAACAAAAGGTGACTTAAGCTTTCTGTATCCTCACCACTCACAGGGCAGATGGAGTCCATTTTCATACCTCTTCTGACCAAGCTTTGTTGAACTCCCAAGTAATCAAACCAGCATCTCTAGATAAATAATTTCAATTTTGGTTGTACATTGAGATGCCAGGAAGTTTTCCACATGCTTCTCCACCAATCTGTATTCTTACTAGATGAAGCAAATTCCTTCTGAGAACCTGTAGCTGCCATAAGAGTGGAATATACAGCTTTTGTGGAGAATTCACCCTTGTTGCCCCCATGCCACACCCACCTGTCCTTCTTTCTTTGAGCAGATAAGGGAATTTTAAGAATAAGATCTGCATCCAAAGGATCAAATGTTTGTAATATCATATCTTTATCCCACTCCCTGCCCCCTTCCCTAATCAACTCACTCACTCTCTGAATCCTAGTCCTATCTCCCCCAAAACAACATCTAGGCTAAAACTGAATTTTGTTAGGGATCCAAGGAGAATCTCACACTCTAATCCCAGTCCCATCCCCCACTTCTAACCTAGCACCTAACCTAAGAGACTCCCTAGCTCCCAACCAGCTCTTCCATAACCAAGAATCCCCAGATTTAGCTCTCACCTCCCATAAATTACAATCCCAGTAATATCTGCCCTTTAACAATTTACTCACTAATAAATCAGGAGATGTTAGCAATCTCCACAGCTGGTTAACTAGCAAAGATTCATTAAACACTCTCAAATCCTTAAACCCCAGCCCCTATCTTCCTTGTCCCTAGCTAATTTACCCCACTCAACCCAGTGAACCCTAGGACCCCCTTTATCATTCTTGCCCCACCAAAAGTTGGCCATATCACTGCAGATTTGGTTGAGAACAGAAATAGGAACTCTAAAACATGACATCACATATATTGGAAGTGCACTCAATACTGATTTCACAAGAATTTCTCTCTCTGACTCACTCAAAAAAACTTTTTTCCAGCTCATTATTTTTTACCTCACACACTCACTGACATATTGAAATGTGTCCCTCTTAGACCTCCATATACCAAGAGGTAATCCCAAATATTTAGCAGATTTCACTCTGTTAATCCCAGATAACCTTCCACAGATTTGGAGTTGAACTCTATCAGGAGTAATTTTGGAAAAGAGAACAGAAGATTTGTCAAAATTTACTACTTAACCAGAATCATGCCCATACAAAGAAAGGATATCACAAACAAGATCAGCATGATGTAAATCAGCTTTGCAGAATAATATAGAATCATCTGCAAAGAATAAGTGACTTACAATAGGAGCATGCTTACCTATTCTAATACCCTTATAGATCCCAGTAACACAAGCCTTATTAACAACATTAGAGAGGGCTTCAGAAACAAGAATGAACAAATAAGGAGATAATGGGTCTCCCTGTCTTAAATCCCTACTTGGTTGCAGATACCCAAAACAGATCCTTGCACATTGAAAGAATAAGACACAGTACACACACAAGCCAAAATCCAAGACAAGAAAACTTCATTGTACCTCATATGCCTACAAACATTAGCAATGAAAGCCCATTCTACCCTATCATAAGCTTTAGCCATGTCTAGTTTAATAGCCATAAAATACTATTTTCCTTTCCTCTTGCTATTAAGGTAATGAACACATTCATTGGCAATAACCACATTATCTAAAATTTGTCTACCTGGAACAAAAGCTGACTGTGAATTTGAAATACAACAAGGCAAGACCTCTTTCAATCTATTTGCAATGATTTTAGCAATAACTTTATAAACCACATTGCACAGACTAATAGGCCTGAAGTCTATAACTCTAGTGGGATTTTTCATTTTAGGAATCAAAGATATAACAGCATGGTTGAGACTTTTAGGCATTCAACCAGAATTAAAAATAAAAAATTCACAGCCAAACAGACATGATATTTAAGAATGGACCAAGACTTTTGAAAAAAGCAAACAGCGAATCCATCCTCTCCAGGAGCTTTTTCAGAATCCATACTAAACCGAGCACTCTCTATTTCCTCATCCTCAACACTACAAATCAATTTCTCATTCATCTCCCTAGTGATGGATCTAGAAATTTCTTCTAAACTGCACCTCTGATCTAGAGGAAAAGAAGATTGAAATAGGCTATCAAAATACTTAAGCAGCTCCTCTACAGTTTCTTCCTTACTAGTACAAATAGAGCCATCTGCTTTAGTAATATTATCAAGACTATTCTAGATTTCTGCTTCCAGTAATATTATTCACTCTTCTTCTATTAGTCACACTAGCATGAAAAACTTTGAATTCCTATCTCCTTCTCGAAGCCAAGCCACTCTAGATTTCTGCTTCCAATAAATCTCCTCACTCTTATAAGCTAGATGCAACTCCATTTTACAATTAATCCAATCACCCCAATCCCTCATCCCACCCTGATTTCTCAACTTCTCAAGTTTGTCTGAATAATGAGCAATTTGAATACAGGAATTAGTAACATTCTGCTCTTTCCAATGAGTAAGAGCATTTCTGACATTTTTTATTCTTTTTTGTAAGCAATATAGAGGAAAACCAGAAACACTCAAATTCCAAGCAGATTGAACAATGTCTTGAAATCCTTCCACATTCACCCATCTAGCATCAAACACAAATCTTTTTTTCCACACATCAGAACCAGGTTGACTATCAAACAAAAGTACAGAATGATCAGAAGAACAAACAAAAATATGCTTAACCTGAGAATTAGGGAAATGGTTGAGCCAATCTTGAGAAAATATGAATCTATCCAGCTTTTGTTCTGTAGCCTGAACCCTTTTTCTATTGTAGTCCAAGTAAATGGGTGGCCAATGATATTAGCATCCATACCTCCTAAAGTTGAAATCAGATTCCTAAAATCAATAAAACTAGCCTCCTCCCTGATAACTCCCCCTGATTTCTCAGAGTTGTCAACTATATCATTAAAATCCCCACATAAAAACCATGACCCTCCCCAGTACAAACTGTGCTTAATCAAAACCTCCCATTGATGCCTCCTGATATCCCTATCAGTACTAGCATACACAAAAATACCCCAAAATACCTCAGTATAACCAGACCTAGCAAACTTCACTTCTAAACAAAAACCAGAGTCCACAATATCAAGAATATAAATCCTGTCTGACCAACACAAGAAAAGCCCCCCCTAAACTCAACTGGTTTACTATAAAACCATCTATCATCCAATTTAAGCTTCTTACACATGGATTCAACCAATTTTTTTTTCTTTTTTTTTTTGTTTCAGATAAAAAAGAAAAATCAGGGAGGTAGATTTTAAGGAATTCCTTGAATTGGGAAATTGTAGAGGGTCCTCTCAAACCTCTACAATTCCACACCATAACTGGTCACTTGGGTTGGTCGCCCTATTCCGCTATTGGAGAATTTAGAAATTTATAACTTGAAATTGAATTTTAGAATTTGAGGCTAAGCACTATGCATAAAACTTTTGAACTACAATTTCAATTGGATTTCTTTGGTACATATTGATGAAGTAGNGCAAAAATAAAAAAAATAAAAAAAAAGTGTTGAAAACTGATATCTTGTCATTTATTTTACCAATAAAATTTTGAGTAGAAATAAAAGGAAGATTGAAAATCAAATATAAAAATAATAATAACTAAAAAAGAAAACCAGAGAGGCTTTGGTGAAGATTGAACCCAACCCCACAAAATCCAAATTTCCGCCATTGAAACATCAGTACCATACAATTCAACACTACCTCTCTGCAAATATATTCCCTAATTTTAGCGAGAAAAAATCATGTAGAGCAAAAAATAAAATAAAATTGAAAATGTCAGCAGCCCCTTCGGCTTCTTCTTCTTGCCTCAACACTCCATTTATCTACCGCCCACTCAAGCTTTCTTCCTCATTTCCTTTTTCGAGAAAATCCCTGAAAAATTCACGATCTCCAGCTTCGTATCCATGCGTCAGGGCTGTTGACCTCGATCAGAACACTGTAAATTTTAATTTAATTCTGATTTATTTGTATCTGTTAAGGTTTAGTTTGTTTTTCTTGATTTTTTTTTTTTTTTTTGGTGATAATGTGTGTTGATGTTGTTTTCAGATAGTGGCAATCACAGTTGGGATTGCGAGCGTTGCAGTTGGGATAGGAATTCCTGTCTTCTATGAAAATCAGATTAACAGTGCTGTAAGTTATCCCCTTCTTTCAAATTTTCAACTTTTAGGGTTTTGCAATGAAATAGTTTTGTGTTATTTGCAATGAGCTATGAAATTATGAAAGTTTAATTGATTCAGGCCAAAAGGGATAATACTCAGCCATGCTTCCCCTGCAATGGCAGTGGCGCTCGTAAGTTAATAATCTCTTCTTCTTGTTGTTGATGATGATGATTATTATGTGCCATGGATAATTTAATTGCCAAGAATTTTGCAAAATGACAAAAATAGCTAATTTTGAATACATACAGTTCCAAAAATTTCTGAATTGTTAGTCTGATGGTACACCTATGATGCAAAGCGATTAAGAAATAACACGGGCTCGGGTATAAGTATTCGATATGTGAAAATGCTAGTCAATTTGATTGGCATTACTATCATGCAGTTTCGTCTTATGTAATTTATTTTATAAAAGTGAATGTCTCGACCGGAAACACGTTTGTGGCGTTGATGGTATGATTGTGGAGTAAAATCATTTTATGACAAAAGTTAAAATAAATACTCTAATAAAGAGATTAATTGAGATATAGTGTATGTAGCTAATGTATTACTATTTTCAGGCACTGATGAAACTTGGATTAGTTTGTTCATCTATTTTTAACTTCCCATGTGTATTTCACTTAGAGTACTGTTTGATAACTTGGGATTGAGTAATTAGGATTTTGTTCTCTAGTCTGGCTAATGCTCTACTGTAGCAATTAGTCATCTTTCAAACTAATGCCTGCTTTCACTTTCCTAAATACAAAAATATTTTGTCACTCGAAAGATGTGTTCGCCTTTTTTGCTTCCACAGTAATGCTGTCCAAAGAAGTTGATAATGATGCAGATGGAAAGTTAACAAAAATCTTTCACGAGCTTAAGTTTTTTTACTTCCAGTCACAATAATCCATTTCTTACATGCATGATACAACCGGTTAAAAGATTGCATTTCGGAATTTTCAAAAAATTAAATTTCTGTAGAGAAATGTCGATTTTGCATGGGAACCGGGAATGTGAGTGTCGAGCTAGGTGGGGACGAAAAAGAAGTCTCGAGATGCATAAATTGTGATGGGAATGGTTCTTTGACGTGCACCACTTGCCAAGGCAGTGGCATTCAACCTCGCTACCTTGACCGAAGGTCAGTCATGTTTGATTGTATTTGATTCTATATATCTATTTCAACCTACAATATAAACCCACATGAGTCACAAAATTACAATTTAAACCCACATGAGTCATGAAATCAATGCAAAGAGTGGACTCTTATGTATATTCTCTCAGTATTGGCTAGTCTTTGTTGCTGGTGATTTTCTTGAGTTCTTTTTACTCTCTTCTTAATTTTTTGTTTTGCCAATTATTATTTTCATGGTAAAACAGAGAATTCAAGGATGATGACTAAATCCTATAGAGAACATGTGATCACTCATGGAAGAACCCCAATGATGTCTGATTGTCGGCAAGTACACTTT